GAACTTTTCAAGAGAGCAATTAATAGTACAATGTATTGACATAACGTTGACAAATAAAGTTGACAATTGTAGTATGGGCATTATGGTGTTTTAGGTCGCTATGTTTGTGATTATTATATTGTTTTTATAATATATTTAGTATTTTGCAAAATATTGAACATACGATGTTTTTTAACAGGAATTATGATGCTTTTACTACACCAATATGTAGTATGTCAAGTTACGGTTTTATTAATATTGAAAATGTTGCACTATAAGCCATGAAAAATTTAGTAAGGTAGGTACTTTGCTAGCTATTTCCAATGGTATCATGCTTACTGGTGGTTTTAATTTCTGGTAAATATATTACTTTACTATGTTCTTACACTTTTTGGCGGGAAGCAAGACCATCGGTAGATTGCTTTGCTAGGTTCTTCCATTGAACGGCAGAAATCAAAATAACTTCAATTTAATTAAACGCTATTGAAATAACTAGTAAGAATGAATGCTGTGTTTTTCCATTTGGAGGTGAGGTTGTTTATTCAGTAAATGTCATAGTTTAAGTGAAATGATAGGTTCTTCCACTGCAAATCGGATTTACTATATTCTTGCTTTGAAAAGATATAAATTATGACACTTACTAGAAAATTCCATTGAATGTAGAATGCTTATTAGTTGGAAGTGATCTACAAAGTTTATACCTCTACAAAGGAAAAAAGTAGTACTTTCAGATCGTCTCAAAGTCTAATTTTAAGCAAAAATTGACTTACTAGGTTTTACCTTCGGACGGGAGAATAGGAACATGCACAAGAGACACCGATACCTATGGGGTACCTTACCCCATTACTACCAACGTCTTTCTGACTATCTCGACAGAAAGCAATCTCGGCTTCCCGATTACTTTGCAGCTCATGTGCACCGGGCCTTATTGTACAATCATTTACACATGAAGTGTGCTCCATTAGTGCTTTATCTGTGGATAGTGTGATGCTACAGAAAATTGAAATTACACAATTGTTTGCTGGTCTCAATTTTTGTTTGTATGAATGTATGGGGCGCTTTATAAAATTATGTGGTATGAGACATAAGTTATTATAAATGGAAAACTATTTTATTATAGAGATGGATTGTTCTAAAAAAGCTAGCTCAATTTCACCATTTTTTAGTACGATTACCTACTTCTTTAATTCGACTTATTCACTTAATAACAATCTCTTGGCGCACCCGACTAATTTTCTTCTATAACACTTTACAACTAGCAAGACGGACTGTCTTGCAATAATTCGTTAAAATCCGACAAATCTGCCAATCACCACAACAAGCAGCTACATTAACATTACCGTCCACACCAAACATGTCACAGTTCACGTCTTCTCCTGCTATTTAAAACATTACCGTCTACACTCGGCAAATTGTGTATGTCCGCTTTTTGAAATACATAAATCACGTCAGCGGATGAAAGTATCGGCAATCGTTGGCAACCTGAATATGATGTCGGCGGAACGGACGGACGGATGGACTCGAGCGCCACCCAGGGTTACGGCCTTGTTCCTCGTCAAAGTCAACTATGGCAGCGGTTTGCAGGATGGTCTCGGAAACCACGAGTAAACTCAATCAGAGTAAACGGCAACTCCAGGAATCTGACGAGATCAGGAAATGGCGGCGGTCATTTCGGAAAAAAAAACAAAACAAAAGAGGCATGCTCAAAAAAACACAACAAATATCGAGATCTAAAGAAAGATTATATATTTATGGGACTTGCCTTCGAGACACTTGGACCATGGTGCAAGGAATCACGAGATTTTCTGAATAAAATAGGCAAAGGCTTAATTGCGGAATCCGGCGACAAACGCGCTAAGCAATTTTTATTTCAAAGGATATCCTTGGCCATCCAACGTGGAAATAGTGCATGTATCCTGGGCACTCTCCCAACTGAAAAACAGTTCGACGAAATTTTTTTTGTTATAGTTAATTATTGTTTTCTTCTTTGTTACACAATTTTAAATATTTTGTTTAAATAAAGTTTTATACTCTGTTTATAAACAAAATTACAGCACACGGCCCGTACGGCAAATTCCCTGGCGGGAATGAAAGCAACAAACCACAAAGTAATTAGCGGTGTCTACGGGACATCAAATGCCGGAAAGCGAAATATCGTACCATGATGATGAGATGGAGATGACGGGTATGTTCTTCCCACGTGTCCGAAAATAGGGTTATGTCGTCGATGTAGATTGTAGAAATGTAGATGACAGCACATCCGGAGGTATCTTCAGTTTTTAAACGCTGGTGCGTTCTTCAGTCCAAACGGCACGACTTTAAAAGTTGTAGGTGGCCCCCAGGAACCTCCGCTGTTAAAAATGTCGCCGGTAGTCGACGCAGAATTTGCGTTTCCCGTCTCTTTTCTTCGTCATCACGATAAGTGAACAATATTCCGACGTGCTGGGCTCGATTTTCTCTGCCTTTAACTTACTTTATACGAGGAGGGGGAATGGGGTCAGAAGGATGTATCTTGTTGAAGAGAAATGTGACCATTTGTAGTTTTAAGAAAAATACATTTTCATATCCTATACCGGAGCTTGTTTTCATCCTGTGGATGGATACCACTCCTTCTTGAGAGTGAAGAATGTTTCATTGACAATAAGTACGGGAGTGCATAGACTGACTAATTGACTAATTCTAATCATCCATAAAGTTGTTTCTGAAGTTTACTTTTCGACATATTCGCGAGTGAAAGTTTCAAGATTTTAACAAAAAAAATAGATTTTCAGGCGGTTTTTGGCGCATAACTTAATAAGTGAGTATTTTATCGCAGAATCATTCTTAGTTAAAATGTAACTTAAACAAGATACAAAGAATCGGAAAATTTTGAGTAGGGGAATTTTTCGCCACTCAGCTCGTATTCGGAAACCAGACTTTTGATCCGGCTCATATTCAATAGCACTGATCCTTGAACTCGTACAAATCGATTCGCGACGGTTTTACGTCGCTATCTCTTTTCGTTCTCAAGTTAGACGAAGAACAGACGGACAAATCCATCACATAACAGATATTTTTTTTCTTTCGAAAAATTCCCCTAAAAACAGGATTAATGTTATGGTCTGTAAAGTACAGACCCAGTACCTACAAACGTAGCTTGTTGAAGGTTGGTTCTTATTCATCAAACGCCAAGATTAGAGGTTTGAACGTTGAACGTTTGAACAAAAAAACCAATGCATTTTAAATAGTCAGTTGTTCAAGCCTTTTCTGCCCAAATCCTTTCAAAAATAAGGGCCGAAAGTAAATGTAGTGTTGATGTAAAAAAGTGTATAATCAAGTCTTTAAAGAATGCGCAACGAGTTAATGACACAACGCGTAGCGGAGTGCCTTTAAACTTTGCAATTGCTTTGAAAACCAGTTATACATGTGTTTCTTATAGTATTTTTTTTTATTATACCAAGGGAAATAAAATAAAATCATATTGACGTTATACTCGAACACGAGTACGCTTTATTCGTAATTCCATGATTTCCATGGAAATGTCACTTGACGTTTGCTTATACAAGTCACCGTCTTTGTAATAGTTATTTACATAAAAGTCAGAAAAATGACACATTACTGGCATGGAAATATTGAAGTACGAGTCCCTTTGGGGCCGAGTACTTTAATTTCCGAGTCAAGTAATGTCATTTTACTGACGAGTTTTTTTTTGTATTAAATTTTACCCGAAATCGTATTTTAATAAAAAATTTCAATTTTTATATAGAACTTTTGATTAATGTCCATCTGTCAGTGATGACAGGACTCATTATAGACATTTGGAAATGTCACAAGTGCGGCCGGTAAAGTGACGATGCGGCCGGTAAAGTGGCAGGTGCGGCCAGTAAAGTGACAAGCGTCAGGAAACGTAGTCTGCTCTGCCTCTGTCATGGAAACTCAAATTTCCTGACAGAAAGTAGGCATGAAAATGAATTTCAGGACGATTTTGGGTAAACAAAATTACTTCGATTCATTCAATGGCTTGATGCAAAAGCAGAAGAAAAGTTGGTAGGTGCAAAATCCAAATCTAGTAAAACCTATTATAAAGAATATGAAAAGTTGTTTTCGTGGATGAATTGGAAGCATCTTACGAGCAAAGTCTTAAGTGCATCGATAATGCTGGCATATATGAAGGAAATGTCAAAGGTATGTAAATTCCCTATCTTTTGGTGCATTCATTCAAAACTTCAAATAATGCTGCGATTAAGAAATGGAACAGATTTAGCAGCATAGCCTAAATTACACGCGGTTCGTAAAAGCTTTAAAGAATAGGTACAAACCATTTACAAAAGCGACATAAGAAGATTTTATTTCAGCCTCAGATGACAGTTTTATAAGTCATATTGGAAGTGTCATTCCTTAGCAACCAAGTGCTTGAAAGGCCCGACTTCGCACGCATTTGAGTGTTCAAAACGGATATTGTGATTCAGGTCTAATAAAAAATAGTTTTTGAAGGATTTGATATCTTGAAAAGTAAGCTTTTTGAGTGATTCACTAAAAAGCGTGGGGTTTTTGTTGAAAAATTGGCACTCGCGAATAGATCGAAAAGTTGCTGAGAATTAATCACACTATCCATTCCCAGACTTATTTTCAATGAAACATTTTTCATCCCCCAGAACGTGGCCGTGCCAAGTTTGGTATTTCGTACAGTACCACATTCCTACAATTGGGTTAACTCGGCAGTCTACGCCATCTGAAAGTAATTTGAAATATTTGTAATGTATGAACGCAATTATTTCGAATCAATCCAATTTTCGCAAATTGGCATTCGCAAATCGTTTTCGCGCTACGTCGGTGTTATATTTAGTATATAAACTAGTAAATTTTCCCTTTTTTTCGCGTCTCGCCCGATACATAAATAACAATTTAAAAATATGCAAGAGCCAAATTTGTACAGTCCTGAAGGAATTAATTTATGAATGAACTTGAATCATCTTTATAAATATCAAGGTTTCAATTTTTTTATCAAAGCTTTTTTGTTGCAGGGACTTGCGTCCACAAAGTTTGGAGAAAAGTCAGGAGCGCTGCCGATTGCGTATTTACGAAGCGTACGCATGGGGTGGTCCTTTAATAATCGCCGGAACAGCAGCCGCCTTAGATAGCGTACCGAATAATTCCGATTACGATTTTTTGAGGCCAAGGTTCGGAACGAGTAATTGCTGGTTCCACGGTAAGTCTGAATTAAACGTTCAGAAGACGCAGTCTTCCATAGTACGATTCTATTATATTTCCGCATTCTCATAGATACCGCTATAAAGTAAAAGCCTCATGTTTATGTAGCATTTTTAGAAATACTGCAATGACATTTCTATAAAAATGCATAATTTAACAAATTACTGATTAGTGTAAATTGACCATTAAATTTGTAATACCTGTTACGTGCAAGAATTTTTAATAGCAGCGCAATGTGGCCACTTTAACTCTGCTCATAATGAGGATGGAGGATGCGCAAGAATTTCTAAAGCAACTGCTAGTTAGTCAACCTACGAAGATCGTTGCACTTTGATGGGTCTTGAATGTATAATAGTTTATTACGTGAATGTGCCTACGTAAATTTGATTTGACACACTTGACTCACGCATTTAATAACATTAACGCTAATTGAAAGTGTACATTTGTTGGCCGCGGAAACTGCAATATTAAAGATTCTTCAATTGTATCACCCACACAAGCAATTATACGACCTTCAGGCAGCCTTTACAAATAAAAATTCCTCAATAAATTTAGCATCCTTCACATTGAAAACCTCTCGCCATTCATTTATTTACATTTTTATCGCCCAGCTCTGCGGCGCTTCCTTTTCCCATGACTACAACTTCGAGAAAATTACAGCGACTTAATCGTTTTCATGTTGAAAAAGTAATTCACATCCTTCGTAATTGAAAATGCGTGAAGGTCAAGTTAATGATACTCTTTCTCGCTGTACAGTAACCAATCGTGCAGAACTGTTGAGGTCCGAGTATGGCCGTTACCATTAGTAGTGGTTACATTTCGCTAACTTTGATCAATGTTGCACTCCAGAAAGTGATCAACAGTAAAGAAATTGCAAACGAAGCAGTTGGTATGCGGTGCGGCTTATAAAAGACACCGCCGGCCATAAACCACAAAAACGTATTTTAAGGTTCGTATGCTGGTAGCTCTTGATTACTTCGGCTAATGAAGATTTTAATAAAGCACGTATATTTGCTACCCACTACTTACGTGCTTCAACTACCGGTTTCCGTTTCTTTGTTTTCACTGCAGAGATGAAACTTACATTACAGGCTCCGACTCGACAATGAGGGTCATCTCTTTTGGAGATTGAAATTTCAATAGTCGGCGTACGTGAGTTCTTCAATGAAGAATGTTTTTGACAAAAAAGTGATTTTTGTCTAATGTTTTCCACCTCTTCAATGCGTTCCGGACAGCAAGATGTACCTATGCTATGTCTCTATCCAGTTATTGCCAAGGTCTCAAAAAGTTGCAATGTGCAGTTTATAATGGGGCTAATTGGTCTGAAAAATCAGTTTTTGTTAATTTAAGATATGGGATCGACTATAATGATTAATGACAATTTTGTGCTGGATGCATGATTGTAACTGCCAATTTTTTTTTCCTACAGTCAAATGTGAATTGCCCTACCGAATTCGCGATTTTGAATTCAATTCTATTAAAGTTAGACTCAAGACTGCACTGTTAGGACCTTTGAAAATGATTCAAAAGCTAAACACTGCAATCGAGCTCCTGGGTATGCCTAATTGGCTATAGCTTGGCATTTCCTATTATATGGCTAAAGCTATGCTCATTTTGAATTTCATGCGTTTGGGTTCATAACTAACGGAGATGTCAAAAGGGCCCTCTTTATTTTTTGGCCTACATTGCCAATTCGCGAACTCCGATCTAAAAATTTGTGAACGAATCTACCTGCAAATTCCACCTGTCCACCAAGTTGCAGTCTCAGTGGTCTATCGGAAAATACATCCCATAGGATGGGGCCAAGTATCGAACCTTGCGAGACACCGCACATTACCTCCCTTGACTTTCCATCCTGGGGTATTATGTATCTTCCAGGTATAATTTTATTATGTTGATCAGATACCCGCCGATGTTCGTCGTCGCCCGTAGCCTCTCGTACTTCTCCATTTTTACCAGCCGCACGTTAGTAAAAGGAGGAAGGGGTAAACATGACTCACCACTTTCCGAAGGAAATTTCCCTTTCGAAGCACCTGGAATCCGAATCAAATAAAATCTCGATGAGATCGGTCTGTTTTTCTGTGCTCTTATTTCCGACTAAACGGCTGCACCGATTCGAACCAAATAGACGGAAGAGCGGAAAAGCTGTTGGGCATGCGCAGATGTGAGTGGTATCTGTGCTACCAACAACACATTTGGAAACATCTCTCACGCACTTTCCGAATTTCTTCCATAGACGCTTCTGTCGCCAGCGTCTCGGGTATGTTTCTAATACGTTCGTCTTTGAATCTCCTCCACTTACATTCCGCCATTTTGCAAAGATTCTCCTTGTTAGTTTTTTGTATAGCATATTGTAAACTGGAAGCGGCTGGTCTTATGGTCACTTAGGTTCTCATGTTGACTACCCCACATCTGGGGCATATTAGTTTTAAATGCTTTCTCCGCTGTCCTCTTTGCATGTCGCTGCCTTATGTCCAAATTGTTGGCGCTTGAAGCACCTATCGGGCTGCAAGCATTCGTCCACCATGGACGTCATCCAACGTACTGGTATTCCTTTTTTTTAACATGGCAGTTGACACCGTATTTCTCTCCTGGCGATGTTGCCTGATTTGGTTTTTCTATTCTGGATCTTCTTTCTCCTTGATCGCCTTCTTTTGACACTCCGCGAAAATCAAATCATTTCGATGCGGTTCTGTTGCTCGCGTTCACCTTTGACCTGCTGCTTGCAATTTCCCTAAGAAAATATTGAGTCTTCCAGTGTATTCTAACGCTTTCCAGACGCTGCGCAGCATTTTAGAGAGTTTTGGAATTTTTCACAGTTGCTTACTTTCCAGGAAAGGTTTTTAAGTGTCTAGAAAGAGTTGGAAAAGTGTATTTAAACGCTATGGCTTAGCTTGGCCTTTTTCCGAATCTTGTAAGTGCATTCCAGAGCGTTATTTGTGCGCCTTTCTGGCATTGTGTAGAACGCTTTCTTGATTTGGAGGCCATTTTAAGAGCGTTTTACACGGTTGTTTTCCAGAAATAGGAAAGCGTAAAACGTAAAAATACCCAGAAAGCTTTGAAAAACTCGTAAAAGTTGTGATATGGCGATAATGATCTACACCTTTTCCACTTTTATTCGAGAAGTTGTAAATTGAATTTGAGAATTGTTACTTGTATTTGAGAAAACGTCAAAGTAGATGAGAATAGTCAGTTGGATTTGAGAAAACATCAAATGTATTTGAGAATAGTCAATTGTATTTGAGAAATTATCATTTAATTTTATTGTATTTCAGAATGTAATATTATTCCTAATGAATTATAATTAAGAATCAAATTTTTATAATTCCGCTACTGTATGTAGTCCCGCAACAGAAGCAGCAGCATCAGGCTATGTTATACATGTGATTTTGTTATTGATTCTCAAATACTTAATTTTACCATTTGTTGAATACAATTTACTACCCTCAAATTCATTTGATGCCTTCTCAAATACAAATCACTATTCTGAACTACATTTGTTGTTTTCTCAAATACATTTTACTATTCTCAAATACAATTGATACTTTCTCAAATTAACTTGATAGTTTCTCGAATAAAAGTGGAAAAGGTGTAGAGGGGTATATAAACACCTAAGAAACTGTGACGTTGTAGAAGCCTTTCGTATTCTCTGGAAAATATCAATTTCGTTTAAGTGATTTCGATGGTCTTTTTAGCCCAATTGTGAGTTTTTGAAAAATGTCTAAACTTTTTTTCAGAAATTTCGAGCTCCTTTTTGGAGCCAGACCAGGCTTGAATCGCCTCCGAAAGAAAAGGGCTTATATCGAGTGCCGTTAAACGCTAACCATGGCTTCATAAGTGCCTGTTCCAGATCGATTTGATCGATTCGGAATTTTTTAGGCTCCTCCAACGCTGTTTGGACTAATTTCGAAGTGTTTTATGCCATGTTAGCGCTTTTTATAGACCTTAATAGCTTCGTTTTGCATTGGAATAAGCAAGCACGGCTGTGGAAAGATCTAGAAGGTGTCTATGAAGTCTATGGAAAGCACATTGAGGCGCAATAGAAAGTTTTCACTTTTTCAGCACTTCTTAGGTGCTTTCCATAGTATTCTATCGTTTTACAAGGGCGTTTATCTCCTTTCAAGTTTCTTCTAAATCTTTCTTCTACCCGTAAAATGTCTAAAACCTTTAGAAAGGTATTAGAAAGCACTCTCAAAAGCATTTAGGAACTGTATTTCGTTTGGATTCTCGAATTTAGAAGTCAGTCTTATCAGTCTTGGAATATTTTGCGACGTACTTCGGTCGTTCGCACATGATCGGTTGTTTTAAAATTAAGCTCGAGGTCCACCAAGAGGTTTCAACCCTTGCTCTTGATCAAGGTCGGCGGATGCTTATCGAATTTGGAAGCCACAGGTTCTCATAGGAAGACAACGGAGAACTCCAGAGGCTGGCAAAATGGCGGTCGGTCACTGACGAATACCTAAAACCGAATTTCGACGCACGGTACAACAGCGGTTTTCCTAAGTGGGAACGGTAAATAATTAAGGCATGAACTAGAGCTATGGGAAAGAAAGACTGTCAATCGTTCACGTTGAACAAATGATAAAAAAAATTAGAGCTAGCAGCAACAAAAAGTGCCAAAAAGAAAAAGATCCCCTCTAAATTACTTACGCTCATACCTTAAATATAATTCTCAAATTTGGGAAGGAAATCCTGAACTTCCCAAAACGCGAACTCATCTGATTTTTTAAAAGTTAAAACTTCTTTAATCAATTGTACGGCCTGCTGATCCTAAGAATCTGTAATTGATCTTAAAAGCTAATTACGAGTGCTTGTTTTGAGACTACTCATAACTTAATCGGATCCTGTTTCTGCAACTCATTTAATTAGCACCGGTTAATTATTTTTAACTAAATGGTCGAATCAAAAACTCGGTAACCCAGCAATGCCCATTCTTACCTAAAATCTGTTAATAATTAATTAGCGGAACTGAATCTCTTAAATATTTAGTTCTCTTCTTTGGAAAGACCAAGGTTTTCCAACCCTACAAAAACAATTAAAACATCTCTACGGGAACTGCTACAAACGACAAATTAATTCAAGTATCTTGATTTCTGTATCAGCGGCTAAAACGATGCTACAAATTAAAGCAATAGCTTTCACCTTAACCTATATATTCCAATTCCTAGAAAATAAATAAATAGGTCGGGAACAACAACGGAAGCGCCTATAGATACCGGGTGTTCATTAAAGCTGGTATGGACTCCAAAATGTACGATGTGTTCAACAAAACTGGTAAACTTCGAGGCGAAAAACGAGTGCTTCGTTTCAATTTAAAACAAAATTTATATACATACTGGGACCGAATAACCATTGTATGCTCTGTCTGTACGCACTGTACATCCATATAGTTAAAATAATGAACAATATTGTGCTGCATAACCCTATTAGGTGGCGTATATCCTCCACTTCTCCCCATACATCATCAATCACTAATCTTAAATCTTGTCAAACTTTTAAGTCGTTCCGTAATAGGAACTATCAAGAAAAAAATGCCGTTTTCTTCCGGAACATTTGTGGCAACTTGAAATGCAAGATCACAAAACATTCATCAATTATTCGGCAACATTTTCTAAGGCGAATATTACTAAAATTATTTCAGCTGCATTTCCTAATCATCTCCGTTTTACACCGCATTAGTTTCAAGCGCCAAAAGCAAAAAGGGGGCGCCTCTCGGATTTTATCCATATCGTTAAATATGCCCTCCAGCAAGTAGAAATTGATTTCCGTGGGTTCGCTAAATGTAAATTTTCTCAAGATAGAAATTGATGTGGGTTGGGCAAATGGAAGCGTCTAAATTAATGTAACTAATTCAATTGTGTTTAAAAAAGATCCGGTAAAATTATTCGAACAAACTAAGTAATCGCGTAGGTGGGGTAAACGAAATTAACACCACTTCCTATTTTGTATAAGTTTACAAGGTTGTGGGAGTTAAGGTTCCATACCAGCCGTACTTGGGGTTGGGGCCGTCTTATTCACGAAATGAAGGCGTTGGTATATGTTGAAATTGAAAGTAATGAATGAATGGAGCGAATTCAATGGTTGGTGCTTGCAAAGAACTCATCATGCATATGAAATTGTCGAAAAATGTTAATAGATTTACAATTATATTGTTTGAGAACCTTTTATTTGAAGGTCGGTATCCAACTGCGTTATATAGGTAGGTATATACTAGCGGAAGACAGATGTCGAGTATTTCCAAAGGTAATGTAATCATTCAAGCATATTGTTAAAAATTTTTACAAAAATCAAATGAGGCATCCTCTAATTATAGTTAAATGCGAGTAGGTAATAACCATATAATACATTCACCATTCACGTTTCTTTAACTCAAAATGAATCTTTAATAGACCATAATGACATAAATCAGTTATACTACACTACTACAGTATAAGCACCTACTTCATTTTGATTGTAACGTAAATTGTGTCTAAAATAAATTTTAAACGAGTAAACTTTTAGAGTGTAACGTTTAAAATTATTGTTTATTACACGACAAATGACATCGTTTAGTTTTCCCGGTTACCTCAAACTGTTGGGACCGTTCCGATTTGTATTTTCCGTTCGAACAATGATTTTGTTAATGGAAACTACTGGGTGTGTGCTCTAACCAAATCATTCCTCACCACTTGGAGCAAATTACACACATGTGAGAAATCGGAAGAATTTAAATAAACTTAGGACACATTTTAATCTCGTTTTTGGTTTATCTAACTTTTTGTTAGTTGCACATTTCATTTCTTACCAAAAATCAAATTTGAATAATTACAATGATTGTGTTGTTTCATAGCAAAGTACCATCTCCATTTTAGATTGGTAAACAGTACAATTTTAATGAGACTTTAGGGGTATTCTTGAATGGAGGATTAATGGATCTATCAAAGGAGGAAGGCAAAACGCACTGAACTTATTTCTTCAATGTGTGTCTGATGATAGCTTTTGGATTTCGCCTTAACGTGAAATCTTTAATCTAGGTATGCACTTCAATTACTGTGAATGATTTGTGTGTGGCTTACAAATCTCGGGGAAATCTCTGTTGGTCGCTATCAGAATACCTACCACTGTATTTTTATCCAAGAGGCATCTTAACGAACCAAACAACAGTCACAATTGTATTTTTTTTTACAAATGTACTAGACAGTTTTGCGTTATAATGAATTACTTAATGAGACTTTTGAACAAATATTTCACAATTCGTCTTTATTTTCTAGGTAACCTGGAAATCCTCACGTACTTCTTCGGACCAATAGGAACCCTCCTAGTAATTAACTTGGCACTTTTTCTGATGACTGCCAGAGAACTGACATGTGGATTATGGAAACGAGAGCTTGTTAAGTCGACAACTGAAAGGTTAGTCTATTTTCAGCAAACACTGCAGACCACATTTGCACGTTGAAACGCAAAAAAATATTTCATTTATAAATAAAATCAATTGGAGAATACATGTAAATTAACATTAATTGTGATTAATTGGCGTTCCAAGGAGATAAATTAAAAGTCGTCCGGTCGCGTGTTTGTAAAAAAAAACTGAAGTTTTGATCTCAGACATATATTTTGTCTTGTCTATGTTGAGCAATGTTGTTTTTCGTCCTCTTTGGATTCCTTTCTAAAATTACCTACAGGAGACGCCACTCTAATTTTTTTAATAGAAATTGTGATTTAAAAACACTTTTTATATTATTAAAAGCGACACTGACCCACTTCAATTTGTTAGTACGCTTTAAATCAACTATTATTTTTGGAAGAAACACATTTTTATTTCATTTTCTTGCAATTCTAATAGCGAATTTTTTAGGGCTGCCTTGGGGAGAGTTTGCATGAAGCTTGTTGTTGTAATGGGAGTGACGTGGATTGCTGACGTTATATCTTGGGCCGTCGGTGGGCCGCAAGAAGTATGGTATTTAACAGATTTCATTAACTGCCTGCAGGGTGTCTTAATATTCATCGTTGTCGGATGTCAACCACAGGTAAACTTCTGTCTTCTGTCTTCTCGTAAGTTGTCTACACGTTCCATTCCAGGTTTTAACGGCAGTTAAAAGGTGGTGGTGCTGGAGAAAAAGACTGGCGACTGGCACCGCCGGAACCACCAATCATCACTCTTCAAGTTCACAAGGCTTGCCTTCTATGGGCGATACGATTACCAACAACAGTGTAACACATAATACAAAATCTGTTCCCATGGAGACAAGTTGTTAAAACTGTTTGTGCAGGGTTTCGTCGACAATAACTAGATTAGGTACATAAATTTGTAATGAGTACAAAATTTGCCTTTTAGTTGCTAGTCAGTTTCGGATAAATTTAAATAACTATAAAGCCTACGACTAATCTCCCGTTTGAGACTGAATATAAGTAATGTTAGTTAAATTTGTTTCGTTTTCATGTAAGTTTAATATCGGTAGTTGTAGTTCCTTATGTAGATTTTATGTAGGCTACCATTCGTGCGCAAATCACTTTGGTACTTACCTGCCGTTTTAGTTACAGCCAAGATTAGCTTTTTTTATGTATAGTTGACAGTATTAACTACTTTGATTTCAGACAATGCTTGGCTTTTAGTTTTAACTTTTATATATCCAGTATTACATGTTGATTATTTTGATGTATAAAGTGTATAAATATTTACCAGTATTTAAGGAATTAAACATTTCAAAGCGTTTCATTTTTTACATGCACCTAGTAGTTCACAAATTTTCACACTGTAAAGGAGTGTAAAGAACTATCCAGACATCTGAAAGGAATAGACAGACAATATCACAACCAAAGAGAAAGAATACATAGTTACTCTTTGTCACAACTGAAGGACGTGTTAGATACAAATATTACCAATGAAAAGGTGCCGTCGAGATTAGAAAGAAGAGGGATATGGTTGTTGACAACAGCTGACAGTTTACTGGACTTTGTTAACTGGAAGAGTAAACACAGTGACTACACAATAATTCCTAATGCCCATTGTTATATCAGATTTGCATTGAAGCATCTACGAATAAGAGGCGACAGTTACAACACTAGGGGGGGGGGGGGGTACTTCGTAAAAAATAAAAATGTGCTGGTATAGTGGCTGTACTTTAACGCACTGCAGAATGATAACATTTTCAGCAAGATGTGTTACCAACAGTAATTCTGCTGTAAGGATAGTTTGTTTTTGAATCGGGGATATAGCTTGGCGGCTGTTTTAATTTGACTCTTGGCAACTTTTTTATGGGGATGTCTGATGCCTTATATTAAAAGTGCTTCAACCAGATTGAGATAGTAAAGTCCCCCCTGTCTCAGCAGTATTGAATCTGATTTACATGAACATGTTCCAAATCGTTCAGATCCAACCGCGTGGGAATTACGCGATTACCGCCGTGTGTGAACAAAGCCTTAGGGTGGACGTGGTGTACAGTCGTCGACTCTTGAACGTTTAGTGGCCAAATTTTAGACGACGGGTTCGATAAATATATAATACCAGCCAAAACCTGTACGTTGATGGAACGCAAATTCGGCGGAAAAGATCGCCGCGGTTAGAGCTGGGTACTGTTCGCGAGCGTTTCGCTCGAAAAAGCGCGAGCACTTTTCGGAGCGGCCGCCTGGTGCTCGATATTCGAGCGTTTACTTAAAGCGCTTTTTTCTGTCCGCGAGCGTTTTTTCCGCTCGCAAGTGCTTTTCTCTGCTCCCGAGCGGTTTTTCCACTCATGAGCACTTTTCCCGAGCGCTCGCGATAAACTGCTCGAGCACTTTTAGGAGTGCTCGGAACTCGCAAGCGGTTTCGCTTTGCAAAACAACTCGATGCTCGCGAGCATTTTTGGAGAAAATTAGAGCGCTCGTCGGTTTTTTAGAACGCTCGACCCAGCCCAGCTCTGGCCGCGATGTGTGAAAGTGTACAGCAGAAACCGAGGCGGTCTATTCCTCGTCGCGTACACGAACTTCGGCTTTCGCAGAATTTTGCGTCTGGACTTAGACCAATGCGCGTATACAAGGTCGAATTGTTTGGCAGAGGACACCAACTTTGACGGAAAATCTTAAGCGACGAGGCGCATTTTTTGGATGAATAATTATATTAACAAGCAAAATTGCCGAATATGGGACGATACCAACCCACTCAAGGTTCACCAGGTGACAATGCATCCTCAAAAAGTTACCGTTTGGTGTGGATTTTAGACCGGCGGCGTCATTATTCCGTACTTTTTTGAAAACGACGTTGGTGAGGTGGTCACTGTCAACGACGAGCACTACAATACGATGATAACCACTTGCCTTTGGTCCATAAATGATCCATATGGACCTCGACAATATGTGATTAGAGCAGGACGGTGCCACGTGCCATGCAACGGACGTGTCAATTTACATTCTGCATGAACGATTTGAGGGTAAGGTTATCACTCGCAGAAGGGATGTGAATTGGCCTCCAAGGTCACGCGATTTGACCTTGCTAGACTTTTTCTTGACGGGTTGCTTGAAGCCGCAAGTAAACCTTAATCGATCAATGCCTTAAAACAGGTCATCGCTCAAATTCACCAAGACTACGAAACTACGCTGCGAAGTTTCCTTGCTTGATATATGTACACAAGAAGCTAAAAACCATATACTGAGATGCGAACCATTGTCCAACAAATTTAAGATTGCAGAAAAAGGTAGTACCAGGAAAGGAAACCTATGCGATAGACTCATGACGAAAATGGTCTCCAAGAACAAGAGAAGAGCCACATAGAGCAGGGGCGAAAGGAAGTGGTCTTACGAAGCAGCTCCATGACGGGTAGAACTAATAATGGCGAATCCAGGCTGCGAGTATCACCTCCACAGCTATACAAGCTACAAATGCTTTGCGAGTGGGAAGTGCCGTAAAGAAAGCGATATGTTGAAGAGAGGTGTACAATGAACTATAGAGAATGAACCGTGCGACGCGATATACAGGTTCTTATTGCTGGGAAGTTTGCCCAGTGAAAGACATTGTAGTGTACTTAACCCCCAGGTTCTACGCTAACTTCACCCTACTAACACACAACTAAAGAAATAAAGTCAACCCGGCAATGTTTAAAAATGGCACCCGAATGACTATTCCCTCCAAATCTAAACAAGATACCGCTTAAATGTGAAAAGTGGTACGTGATAAAACATCTAAGACAGGGTTCCCTTACGTTAGTTGTAATTTTGTAAACAACGCTTGGACCTGAAGCACAGTAGGGAAGGAACGTAAGATAAAACACTGAAATTGTGAAAAGTTTGTTTAATAATGATCCCAATTATTAAGATTGTGAAAGCTCGGAAATTTAAGTCAAAATAAATTACATTGCAAAAATAAACTTTGAAAATGGTAGTTCACCGAATAAAAATAGAAATAGGGTGGGAAAAAAGAACTTGCCAATAAAAAAACCAGCCGCTAAATTAATATTAAATTGTGTTGTAAAATTAATTGTTTGTAATGATGTGAATGACTTCAAGAGGTAACATATATAAAAAAACAAGTTTTAGGAATTATGGGTCAAGTAAGAAAGTACCTAGATTCTAAGAAAGGGTGAAATACTTAGGATGTGACTCATGTTTGGTGCAAAAAGTCCTTTTGTTAAAAGCAAGATGGAAAATTACATGACCTTGTAGGCAAATTTAACTAAAAACAAAATATGTGGAAATTATGAATAGTAACTCATTTATCGCACATAGATTCTAAACTGAAGAGGTTTGATTAGCGTAATCCCGCTCCGGCAAGATAGGTAACCCGCCCCTGGTTTCGAGCCTACAGTTGAATGTCGAAGACAATCATGGAATTTGGTGTCGTAGCTCAATTTTGACTACAGTTTTTTTTACCACCCCCGTGACTGCTTCATTCATGGAGAAAAATGTTAGTAACAAACAACAAGTCAGTATATACCTCAAACGAATCGGTAATTTCCACATAATAAAATGATGAAAACTTACTTCAGGGACAAGACCAAGTAATCAACATCAATAAACATAAAGGCATCACATATGTGATTCTCCATTACGGTTAAACCAAGTAAATTTCAAAAACAAAGATTCAAACACAAAAAATATAAAATGTGGCATACAAAACACAAATACGATATAAACTTAAGACCTTCTGCAGAGGCACCTCTAAAAAGCATTATGCGGGTGACTCTGTAATTGGACGCAAGCCTGTTGAGGGCCCAGAACAAGAGGGGGATAATAAATAAAGAAATGCAAAGATTACTACTTGCATAAAATAACACAAAATAACAACAAACATTTATGGAGCGACGACGCGACCACGACCGCCATTCACGACAAGTTGCCCAACGTAACCGCCGTTAGTGCTTTCTAGATGACGCATGCAGGCAGCTTTTTCCCACCTAGAAATTGCATTGTTGCCAACGATTTTTAAGCAGGGAGAATACGCAGAAAACAGGAAGCGTACCAACATAGTCTTGATTTAACAAAATATAGCGAGGTATTTCGACTCTAGCATTACGCTTATCAGCCGTATGGGCACGACGTTTGAGAGGGTAAAATAACCGTGAAGTTGGGAGACCATGTGCAACTATACAATAAGTCGCACAACAGAAAAATTGATAACGTGTTGCTTACATATGATACGAGTGTGCACCTTACGTGGATGCATTGATTATATACACTATCGTGGATGGCACGAATTGAACTCCTACTTTGTGTATACTGGTGGCGGTTGTTTTTATGTGTTGAGACGTAAGACACGGTCGAGGAGGGAATTGAATGAAACGAAGAGGTTTTGTTATATAGCTGTAGGTTTTGTGGGTAAGAAGAACAGACAAGAACAAACAATAAAATATATTAAGAGGTAATATACCTATAATACCTCTACGAACACAACAAGGCACCGGGGAAAAAACCTTTGGAAAAAAAGCAGGCATAACACACACCACACACACAAATACAGGAAATAAATCGCATCTACTACAACAAAATGCAAGATAAAAATACATAAATCAAACACCCCAAACTGTGGAAATAAAAATAAAATAAAAACGAAACACAATAAGAGACATCGTAAATACACATGAAAAACAAGGCAAAAAATTAGTACAAAAACAAATCTAGGATCAATTTAGAGACAACAGAACAACCGGTAAAATGATAAATGGCATGAACATAAAAAAACAACATCAAAACGGCCTGGCTCTGCTCCAGCATCGGCTACCATATTAATTTAACACGAACAGTACTTGTGGAAATGCCGGCCGGTATTCATGTTAAAGTCTACGATAATTATCTCCCATTTAGACCTCAAAAAACTAAACCAAAGAAAAGTTAATTTGAGGGCCCCCCTTCTCGTATTGCCAAGACTCAAGAGCTGCAGTCTGCACGAGATGAGGAAGCACACCTTCAATAACTGGTTAAGCCATCAAATGCTATATGATTATCCTATTAAGACAAGCGCCGGTAGACTGTAGGGCGAAGAGTTAATAAAAAAGAAAACGTGAGAAAGGGAATACTGATCTGCGAGTTGTTTTTATGGAGTAATTAATTCAAATACTTTACGTTTTTATTTATTTATTTTAAAAAAACCAAAGAGCGTTATCCCAGAGATATAGAAAATTTTGAATTTAGTTTTAACTACACTTTTCGTGTATTGACCATAAGTGACGTCCTCTTCGAGTAGGTTTCGGATACATACCTAATACCCTAATAGTTGTAGGTAGCCGCTGTGGATTATAATGGC